CAACATATGGTGGCTAACAAATGATGGCCATATATTATCCCGATCTGGAAAAATCCAATCTGATTTGTTGCTGATAAGTACTTCAAAGCGATGAAAAAATTCCAGCAGTGTTTGCCTTTTTGGATGAGGAAGTAGCATCCGTGATGGGCCTTCTTCCCAGGGGAATTGTCTGTCTGCCGGGGAATCCCCTTCTCCGTTCCAGCCTGGGTATTTGTCCAGTCGCATATTGGATTTCCACTTCAGTCGCCGAGTGCTGTAATAATTCTCTTCGCTAAAAACAAAAAAGTACAAAACCGAAAGCGGTGTGGCTGCTGCATTTTCCGCTGATTTTAGTTGCACTTGCCAACCGTGGACATGACTGAAATATTATTAGAAATGGTGAGGCAGTGCGTCGTCGTCTTTGCGACTTTGTGGCATCTTCCCTGGGTTGGGGGTTGGCGGATGGGATTGGATGGGTCTGGGGAGCCCTGGTCACATGGGCGTTGCATTTTACGCTAAGTAAGAATCCAAATAAAGCTGGGGCAGCTGGACCAGGAAGCACGTCTAAAAATGTTCGCCTCCCCCGGCAGCTCCTGGTACTCGTACTTCTTTTGCTTTTTCAGAGGCTTCTTTCTTCATGGCTGTCGTTGTCGTGGTTGTTCCTCCTGTTCTGTTCTGTACTGTTCTGTTCCTCTTGTCGTTGTTGTCGTCTTGGTCGTGTTACAAAGTGCACTGAAAAAAACTGACCCAATAGTCGAAACCAAGCTATTTTAAATACATACTTCTAAAAAAAAGTAAATTATAAAAGTGAAATCACTTCAAGTTTATTCAGTATGACTGATTTAACTAAAGACAGTTAATACCTATTATATCTGTAATTCATTAAAAAAATATGTCGCACTTAAAAACCCTAAAACTTAGAACATTCCAATAACATCGTAAGATCAAAAGTCTAGTATTTTGGGATTACAAGTTTAGTTCTTATTATTATCATCATTTGCGGATGTAGCAGAAATATCCAAATATATTAGACCTTATAACTAGACATTATTAAAAACATTTTGTAAGGTATCAATTTATATAGATTACAAGATATGTTAAACTTTTTTTACACTTATTCTGACTGTAAGGTTAAATATTTTAACTAGTTCAACGGAAACCTCCTCCCTTCTCTGTTTTTATGTATCATGAACGAATACTACAAGTTTTTTCCAGTTTGGTAAAATGCAAAACGGAGTAGTGGGTGAGTGCATCCAACTTGCCTAATGATGCAGTGCAGCTCGCTCTGTTCTGGAATTGTGCATTTGCTGGCCTGGCCAATTTAAATTCTAATTCCATGTAGCAAATCAGATTAGCTGCCCAGTTGGCGGACCACAAATGGCCCAAACAGTTAGCCCAAGTTACCCAAAGTTACCCGCACTTGAACTGGGTTTTCTTAAAGCCAAGTTTGGGGCCAGCCTTTTGGCTTTGGTCTTGGCCCGGCCCAAAAGCGTTTTCACTCCTCCAATGCAGACGTGGACATAAAAATTCATTTTACGACCATGGCAACAATATTTTTATGTTTTTATAAATTTATTTCACATTTTCTGCTTGGAAACCAGATACGCAGAGGTAGACTTGCACTTTTCCCCAGTATATCTCGGCTGTTTACAGCCGTTAAGTGTCGCCAAGTTTTTGTGGCTTAGGTTTTTACTATTCGCCTTAACTGTTTCTTAAATGCATTCACGTTGCAGTTGTAAAGATTGACAAAATGCAAACTGGTTTCCGAAATGACCCAATCTCGAAAGAGCTCAATAAAAATGATTTAAATCGGGTTTAAGTCTATTGAGAGACTCTTAATAATGCCAGGCCATCTAACTGGGGTTTCATTTCGATTTAAAACCCATTTCATCTGCCTAATTTGTTTAGGCTTAAAAGAGCTGTACACAAAGGAAATATTAATGAATTACAATTCCCATCAAAAAGGTTTAATCAGATTGTCAAGGTCTGGCTTATTTCGAACACAAAGAGAGATGCAGAAGTATGGGCATATAAAATGTTGTATTTTAATTAAAAAGTAAACCCAAGTGAAGGGAATAATTTTTTAAAGCCTGGTTACGGAGTTTAAGCCAAGGATGAAAGTTCATAAGTTGCAAAAACTGAAATCAATTTTACTAAAAATAATATTGCTGATGGAGAAATATGAAAACCCTAAAGAAATAAAAAACTTCCTCTTCTGGCTTAAAAAATTATCTTAAGGAAGTGCCTTTGCTTTTTTATTGATTCTTTAATCCTTTTCCATTTAATTTTATCGAGAGATGGGAAATGACTCATCTTCTTCAGGGCACAGTTCCGAGATTTTTATGAATTTCGAGCTCTATCCATTTATTAGCCCTGCGTCCATCTACACACTCCATTAAGCCCACACACCCGCTCGGGGTCACCTTTTTGGCCTGCAGCCATCGATGGCTCATTAATTTCTGCGTGGCGGCCAATGAAAATAAATCGTAAATCAATAAACCGCATAAGAAACTTTGGCCCGTGTTTCGAATCCCAATCCCCCTTCCTCCAACCGCATTTTTTACTGCCTTTTTTTAAGTGCATCTTTTGGATCTCCATCTGGAGTGACCAATATATATATTTCGCTGGTTGCGTTTCTTGTAAAATTTAACAGTTTTAATTTTTTTGATTAATTGGCCCGCTTGCATTTTATTTCTCTTGGCTGCTGCTCTTCGTCTGTCTCCGATAAAAGACAATTTTGATTGATGTTTTTATAATTTTATGGGTTTTATGGGTCGAGGGACCTAACTGAGATTGTAACTTCTTCTGAAGCCGTAGGAGAACGCTAGGGTCTAGCCACAGGTGTTCGGGCTTTCAGCAATTATAAATTCAAATTTAATTTTAGCCTAAACGTTTCTAAACAAAGCAATGAAGCCATTCACAGCACACATGCATGCGATTACACTTCGTCTGGCGCTGTCTGGCGCAGCGGGATATATACAATGCGATATGGGCGAGGGGGCGGGGCAGATCGGATGGGGTCGAGGTGCATCGTCTGCATATGCACAGGAAAAAATTAGGGAACATTTTGCGGTATTTTTCATAATTTATATTTTAGTTAAACGAGGGTTCTTGGATTATTCTTCAAATAAAATAGTTTAAATTATTTTTACAGACATCTTAAATTGTTTTTATGTCACTGGAAACTAACTAAAATTATATAAAATTTTGAAAAGATTATAAGTCCCCATTTTTGATGACATGAAGTAATTAAGAATTCACAGAATAGAATCGTATCTTAATAAAGAGATCAGCAAAGCATACAGGAGTTCGTAATAATTAAAAAAAATTATTTCTGAAATATGCTAAGATCTTTATTTTTACATTCCTTATAAAATCTAAAGCTTTAATCCCATTTATTAATATTTTTTGTTGTGCATTGGTCCCACTCTGAGATTTATGCAGCCAACGGATTGGAGATGGAAATGGGTATGAGCATTTCATGTTGCACTTTGCTGGCACAGTTTCTTCTTTTCGAGCGGAGACTTCCGCATTTGGCCGTTCTTGTTATTGTTTTCGATGGAAATGGAGGCTGTATCTTTAGCTGATTCCGTTGCCGTTTGTTTGGCGCCCTTAACGCTGAGAATGCTGGCGCATAAATAACGTGAGAATTATGGTACAAGAGATGCCAGTTACAGCCAACAAGATACAAAAAAAAAAAAACAACGGAACAGAACAGGGCATAAATATGCATGTGCGGCAATAAAGAAATTGGTAAATGTCCCGGTCGCAGGACCATTGTGGCCAACTGTGTGCCACTTTCCGCTTTTGAATCGCGAAATTTTGGCCAGCAAAAAAAAAACAAAAAGGCCAGCGATCAGTCGTCACTCAGTGGCCACGTCACGCGTTGGCAATTGTTTTTGGCCCGCATTGCCAATTACGACACCATCAGCAACCAGCAACAGCAACTGCAGCAGCAGCAACATCAACTGCAACAGCAGCAACATCCAGCGCACAGCAGCAACACCAAACAACAGCGTTTATTCGCAGCCTCTCAGCCTGCCAATTTATGGATGCACCTCGCTTTTGGGCCAGTTTGCCCCTTTTTTTGGCAACCAAAATCAAAAACCGCTTATTATCAGCGCTTTTTATGTTTGACTGCTTGGGGCCAAAGGTCTTAGGAGCATTGGCACTTGGGTTTTGGGTTGGGTTTGACAGGCACAGGGGCATATATCTGCATATATATGGGCACAGAGAACATAATGTAGTGGGCAGTTGGGTGTGTTTGGCAGAAACCGAAATGGGTGTGTGATAAATGAACTGGCTTCAATGCGTTTAAAGTCTGTTAAGATATAAACTTATGGATCAGGTGGCATTTTATAAACCTTCTGGAAAAAGGAACCATTTAAAAAGCAATACTTTTTAAATAGCATTTTAATTTGCTTAAATGATCTAAAAATTCTGAGTATTACTAGCTTTTAGACATGAAAAACAAGGTGTCGTATTGCACATGTAAATTAAATTGGATTAGATTCAATACCGAATATCCATGAGATACTCCTGTCAACGGTTTGACAACCACTCGAATTGGGTTCGACAGCCACTGAACTGTCAGTTGCGTGAACTGGAGCACTTGGTTGCCAGGTTGCCAGGTTGCCAGGCTGCCAGTTTCCCTGGCTGCTCCTTCGAATGGCGGGCAAACAAATGACATGGCTGCAAGTCATCGGCTGGAAGCGTGTCGTGTTTGTCATCGCAGATACGCAAACACGCTAATATCGGTCCAAGTCCAACTCCAATCCGCTGGCATTTCCAGACACAAGACACATGTGACAATTGCCCAGATCCCACTCCCAAATACAACCTGTTGGCCGTTGGTCGGTTGCTCCGGTCGTTATGACAGTAATTGGCCGAAGTCGTCTGGAAAAGTCAGTTTCACTTTTGCAGATGATGAGCCGCTGATTTGGGTCAGCCAATCCATTTCAATCCACAATCCAATTCGATTCACACCTCGCTCTGGTTTTCCTTGTACTTCTTTTCTTCAGGCGGAACATTTGCATGCAACAGCGAACGGTGACGATGCCCGTGAAGCGGACGGAGGTCTACACCCGACCCACCTGGAAGCACGTGGCCACGCCCTGCCAGCCGCCCACCTTCAGCGGCCAGAAGTGCACCAGGGTCCAGGTGGTGCACGAACAGGCCTACCGGGACGTCATCGACCACAAGACCGCCCAGCAGATGACCTACGACTGCTGCTCGGGATGGAGCCGGGAAACCACCAGGGCGGATGCGTGCATGAAACGTGAGTTTTAAATAATACTGTATTAAATTTTATATTAAATAATGAATTTCATGAGTACACTACATAAAACGTAATGATTTCTCTCCTTTTGATAATAAGTTTTGGTGAATTTCTAGCGCCTGTTTTAAATAAAAAATCTTAAGCAAATTAGGGTTACTTCAAAAAAGATATTACAAATTATTTATAAGAAAATATCTTAAAGATAAATGGTTGGAGAGCTTTCAAAATAAAGTTATTAAACTTCAAAAATTTCTATAAAGTTGTTGTGACTAGCGCTGTAATTTATAAGTTTTAAAACTTGTAGCGTTAGGAAGCCTAAAACAATAAATAGTAATAATAATAATAAAGTTAAATCTTTAAATTCATTACGTATCCGCCTAGTGAAACAACCCCGAACAGTTCCCAAAAATAATACCATTCGGTTTATTGGATCAGCTTTAACCAACCTAAGCATTGTGAAAATAATTCTGAATATTTTGTATCCCTTTTTAAATATATAACGATCTTTTTTCAGCTGTTTGCTCCACGCGCTGTCAAAACGGTGGTAATTGCACGGCTCCGAACACCTGCAGTTGTCCATCTGGCTACACAGGACGTCACTGCGAGCAGGATGTGGACGAGTGCCAGACGGAAAAGCCCTGCGATCAGCAATGCTTTAATACTCAAGGATCCTACATCTGCCGCTGCCGCCATGGATTCGTTCTCCAGGCGGATCAGCAGAGCTGCAAGAAGGTGTCCTCGAATGCGGACGACGCTTTTGAGGCCCGGGACTTGGAGAACGACATAGACGACACGGATCCAGAGGTGGTCACGCGGCTCCAGAAGATCGAGAAGTCCCTGGCCAACGAGCGGGTGCACACCAACGAGCTGCAAAAGTCGCTCCAGGCCACCTACAGTGTGGTGGACACACTCAAGAGCCGGCTGAGCACCCTGGTAAGAATTATGAAAGTTATCTTAAAAGATTAAAAAATAAATATATATATTTTTTTTAACTTGTTCCACATTTTTTTAAAAACGTTTTTAAATACATCAGTGCAATTCTAAATGATTAGGCTTACAAATAATTAAAATAATATCAAACAAAATTCTTAAAAAATCAAAAGTTTTGGACGAATATTATTTTTTTCCAAATTTTTTGGGCACCAACTGTAAATGTTTTTTTTTTATATAATAATACTAATTTGAACAACTTATTTTCCCATTTACAGGAAAAGCAGGCTCAGGATGTGAGTAGACTGCAGACGAATCTGTACAAGACGGAGTCGCGGACCAACAAGCTGGAGGGGATGCTCAACCTGCTGCTAAAGTGCCGAAATGGCCCGAATGCCAACTGCCCCTAATCAGAACTGCACTTCCCTACGCTATTATTAAATGTTAGTTAACTTAATTGACGTGAACTGCTGCTCCTGCTTGTAAGCCATTCCCGAATGCGAGTCGAGTGCCTCTGTAGTCTGTAGAATCTCAGCCCTTGGATCGGGCTGTGCGTATTAGTACTTAAGCGAACGTGTCATAAATGTATTCAGATCTGAAGTTATAGCCCTAAGCGCACCACCGCACTCTGCACCACCCAACGTTGGTTTGGGTGGTGCCCCGATTAGTTTCTGCATGTATCTGTATATAATTTTAATGTATATTAGAAATCACTGCACAAATAAATGCATTTTATAATTTGAATGGTTGATTTTTCTGGGAGTTATATCGGAAAATATATTGGTCTATATGAACTATTAAAATTAAGTAAAAATTTTAATCTATTCAAGTTAAATGTAAAAATTTAGAAACATACGGAAAGGAGGTTTTTTGGTCACCATTTAGAAAGTACATTCCTCCTTCGTTTTCTATACATTTTCCAAAATTTAAGGAAAACAAGATTTAAGGTTCTTAATAAATTAGTACATTTTTTTAAGATTTTAAAGATGAAGCAGAGATATGTATTTTCCCAAATTATTTTTTTTAAGAATTGTACTGCTACTATTATTTTGACCGCTGGTGTAAATTTACATTAGCGAAGTCGCCCTTTTAGCCGAGTTTCCCACTTAACTATTTATCGAATATAATCGATAGTTATTAAACATCGATAATTGACATATTTCTCGAAAGATCGACCAGCTTCCATCGCTAACAGTCAATAACAAACAAATAATTGGACTGCACAATAGAACATAATCAGTGCAAATATAGGGGACGGGGCCAGCATGATTGGAAAACAGTCACCGTAGTGTCAACAACCACAAACCAACATTACACACCTTCTGGATAATTCCAATTACAGGCAGTGACGTCACTGACAAAGAAATACAAAAACTGCGCAGAAAACAAGGGAAATCTGTTTAGGCAAGGTCCATTGGAAAAGGGGCGGGGAGCTATAGAAACTGATCCCCCAGATTTCACTTTTACCACAACTAAAACTGATTAAAAATCGAAGCGGAGCGAGTGCAAAGTATTCAGTTCACAATGACTCGCGATGAGAAGCTGCCGCTCAAGCAAGCGGAGGTCTCCATACAAAGGTTTCAAGATATGGCGGTAAGATATATCCTATCTCTTATAATATATATTTAGCACTACATTTCCCTTACCCCCCACAGGTTCCCCACCATCTGAGCCTTTTGAAGAACCATCGCAGCAATATCGAAAAAAGTCTGGCCCTTGGGGACTGGCAAAAAATCAAAAAAGAGGAACTCAATGCCTTGAGGGTCATCAAACAGATAAAGAACCTCCTCCTGGAGATGGATTCACTACGCGAAAAAGTGCGGGAGGAGGATCTGGAACGCTTTGATGACCTTATGCGACCTGGCAGGGAAAACGCCTTCGCTGGCATGAAGGAATTCGCAGGTAAGTTTGGCTTATCTCCACAAAATACTTATATATTAACAAATTTACTCATTTTAGAACTGCAACTCAAGTCGCCCACCTCCACTTTGGGTTCCCAGTACGACGAGGACCTGGACAATCAACAACCCCAGGAAGTGGACATGAACAATCTACCTGCCCACCGGCACATGCCGCAACTGCAGCTCAATTTCCAGCTGGAGGAGCACCAACTGGCCCAACGACAAGCCTGTCTGGATCAGATGGAGAACCTGCAAAGAGAAATCTACGATCTGCACGGAATGTTCCATGGCATGCGGCAATTGACTGCAGAGCAGTCGGTGGCAGTAGAGAAGATCGCGGACAATGCGGAGGAAGCGCTGGAGAATGTGCAGCAAGGCGAATTGAATTTGCGCCGGGCACTAACCTACAAGAAGGCCATGTATCCCGTAGTGGGAGCTCTTCTAGGCACCTGTGTGGGTGGACCCATTGGACTGGTGGCAGGCATCAAAGCCGGAGGTCTGGCGGCCGTGGGATGTGGCATCCTGGGCTTTACGGGTGGCTCCGTTCTCAAAGCCAATCCCAATGTAATGCATGGCAATATCGAGGAGGAACAGGCGGAGGTAGATAGCGAATCGACCGAGAGACTGGAGCTCAAAGAGAAGCCGGAATGACCCGCTGGAGGAAGTGGTAGAACCACATCTACGGCTCTGGCCAACACGCACATTTGGTCGGCGAATACGCGACGTTTGGAGGCGGCCACCAGTGGAGTGATCTGCAGTGTGCGCAGCTATTGTTCCGTGCAGTAGAGATTTTACATCGATTTTAGTTCAATATCCCCCATTTTGTGATTATCCATGTGCAGTAACAGCATCATTTTCTAGTTTAAGCGTTGGATATTTGTTGTTCACATGACACCGCAACTGTGCGTAGATCTTAAGGCTTTAATATGCAATAATAACTCGTAGCTTTATCAACTGAAGTTTTTGATTGGCATGCCATGAAGGTAAAAGCTGCAGATATTGTTAAGGCTTTAATATGCAATATAAACTCTTAGCAATAACATCTTTGTAGAAATAGCCTACAAAATCTCCTAAACTAAGCGAGGACTTACGAACTAAGTTAAGATACCAGATGGGTAACCCCCTGCCCCGAATTTAAAGGGGTACATTAACCGTGGTCCATGCCTGTTTGAAGTTCTTCTTCTGGGAGTGCTGCTTCTTCCTTAGACGCTTGGCGGTCTTCTTCTTTTTGAACCACGCAGGATAATTTCCGTACTGATCCTTAAGGGTCTTGCTGTTGAAAACGTGCTCTACACCTGTGTTTTCATTCTTCACCTTCACCTTTTCACCCTGCTCCAGACTTTCCTGGTGCTCGTATATCAGTTCCTGCTCCTCCTTGGATTTGGCCTCCTTTATAAAAAGATACCATGGATTTTTTAGAAAGGGAGTATTAAGTGAAAGATGTATACGATGAAGATCACATTATATACCTGTGTATTTAAGGTAGAACCTACCGAAAATATTACTACAGATGTATAATACGACACAGGTAGCAAAATACCTCCGATTACTTCAACTAACTCACCCTCTTGATCTCCTTGGAGGTCTTAACTTCGACCACATCGCTAATATCTTTCATGATCTCGTTGCCATCGGCATCCAGCAGTCCCAGAGTTTTCTTCAGGCGAATCAACTCCTTAGCCTCATACCGCGCCTTCTTTATCTTATTCATTTCATCGCGGCGTTTTCGGGAGCGATTGTTTCTGCCCATTTTGCTGGTCGGATATTAATAATACCCGAAAGTTGCGAAGAAATTGCGTTCAATTTGTAAAAACGTAAACACGTGCGTTCTAGACAGATGAAATATACCGTCCGGCTCTTAGAAATATACTAGTTACTCCAAATTATATTAAATTACAAAATATCCCAAGCGGTCACTCTGAAATGTCAGGAGGATGTCTCCGCTATGCTAGGAGGGTGTCTTTGCTTATTGGCACTGTTAGTTTTTAAAAAATACGTTTTTTTAAACGCTAACGTTTTTCATTCGATTTTAGTTTTAAAACATTAAATAATATAATTGTTTCTTTTTGGCTTACAAATTCTAAACTGGTTTAAATGTTTACCCAAATTTCACTATGACAATTTTTAAATAATCATATATTTTCTATAAATGTATAAGCATATAAAGGTTACTAAAAATATGTATTACTAAATCAGAGGTTTTATGACCTTTTTCTTACAAGTATATATATTTACGATTACTTGTCTTAAAACCACAAATTAAGCTTTGGTGGTTTTCTTCCATTTCCTTTTTCTCGCCCCCGTCTCCATCCACCCTCCATATATTTATCTATTCCCCTCTTTATTTATTTACCCATTCTCTCATTCTCATTCTCTTTCTGCTCTCAGCTCAGAATGCAATATGATTTTTGTATACAAACAAAATCAGCTGCTGAAGAGAGAGAATGAGAGGCTTGCCAAATACGAAAAATATAAAATCAATTGGATGTTTTTTTAACATGACTATTAGATACTCTTTGTTTTAATTTGTATTAAATTAAATATCGATTTATACAAACGGAAAACCAACCAATCCTAAATTTAGGATAAAGTCAGTGATAAAGGTGCTTAAAAGTATGCAGCGAAAAAATAACTTTTGAATTGGTAGGATTTTTGGACGAACATCCTTCCTTAAACCTCTTTGAAATAATATTAAGATTTTATTAAAAAGGTTTTAATTACCAATTGGTTGTATCTTGGAGAAAATGTTTAACCTTTCAAGACAATTATTTAAAACTTAAATAATGTTCTCCACAAAGCCATATGAATTATTTTTTTAACTTAAAATATATAATAAATATAAATAATATACATAACTTTTTGTAATAAACTGTAGCGGGTAAGATAACTAGTTTAATTTTAAAAATTTCTTATTGTGCCAGAAAAAATTTTAGGGAGAAATCATATTTGAATGCCCCAATAAGTATGCAACGATAAAATGGAATATTAAAATTCCAAGGATAATGCGTTTTTATATGCCTAACATTACAATAGCTAAACATATGGTACCATTTAAAATATTCCTTTTTTTTTGTTGCATTGTTGGGGTACCCTAGTTTCGATAGGGTATCTGGAAAGACCTCTCTTGCACATGCGCAGCAGCGGAAACCGAGGCAGAGAAGCAGAAACAGGGTAAGTGTGTCGGGCTCAGCTGAGACCCACCAATACCACAGCAGCCCAACCAATACCACCTCAGGATGGGAGACACACACATACCGACAACCAGCTTTGTTGGCCAGTTTGTAAACCTTTTGCCATCATTCGCTCGTCAGTCGTTGTTGCTAGCATACGTCACGGAGTTCCTGCAGCGCTGCTATCCGCACTTCTCACCCCCTCTCAGTTCTTAAAAAAACGGAAGTAATCAGCACAAAATAAAAAACAATTAAAAACATTTTGAAAATTGTGTGAAAAGCCTTGTTGGTGCAAAATATTGCCGAGAATTGAAATCAGAGGAGGGGAGATTCCGCAATCGATCGATCAATAAACTCCGGGCAGCAAGTAAGTGCAGTTTTAACCCCCAAAAAGAAACTTAAGCGGAAGTCCTCCTCCAAGGAAAGGACACTTACACTCACCCAAATATGTGTACACATTCTCGGATATGTTTCTCAAAGTTTAGAGCTGCAAGTCGATTTACATGTACACACATCTCAAGTGCAGCCAAGCGATACATACACAAAAAAAAATGCACAAAACAAAAAAGCAGGAAAAAAAGGTTCTGATTGCACCTTCGCATCCAAAGAGTTCACACTTTTGCGATTGTGTGCGAGCTTTCCTCGGTTTCGGTCAGGCCAACAAACAGTTTTCCTTCTTCAAGCACACACAATTTTCCCCAAAATCGTATTCGCCTGCAAATCGGCCGAGTTTCTTGTTAAGGGGATTTCCATTCTGGGCATCTAATAGCCATAAATTTGACTTGCATCACGTTTTCAGCATTTGTAGCGATCGTTATCAGAACCGTGCCACATCTCAGATCTCTGGCATTTCCCAGCTGAGGGCACTGCAAAAAATCGGTATAAGTTCTCTAAAATTATTGGGATTCTAAGGAGAAAAATCTAATAGACGGAAGGATTAGGTGTAGCTTTCTTTTAGTTATATCCCTATTTTCACAACCATTGATAAAATTTCTAAAATATATGTAATAATATGTCATATTTTAAAGGTGCCAATATTTTTAAATTTACTTTATATAAATCGAGTTCAATATTTATGTACAATGTAATTTTGAAAAAAATTATTTTTAAATCTTAAATAAAGGATAAGTCTACATGATACAATAACTTTTATCGCAAATTAGGAGTTCTCTCAATACCTATGTGTTATTATTTGGATTATAATTTAAATTTCCACTTAGTCATACCCATGTTTGGTGCCTTTTCTCTGCGTGTTCAGGATCATTTAGTCACTGCACTTTGCCCCACGATCGAGTTTTATTTTGTGCAATCATTATGACTATGTGTTCATGGAGTGTCATCTGGTTGATGCGAAGTGCAATGAATGTTTCGCTGATTAACATCTTAATTAGCCTTGCGATTATTTCCTCAACTACAGCTGAGCATTTCAATGGCCAAAAATCGTTGGATGCCTGCCAGCATTTGCTCAGATGTTGAGATTCATCCAAAGACGAACGAAAATGGGGAGCGTTTTGAAGAGAAACCTTTGCCACTCCACGACCACAAATGCAGGCCCGAAAACCCAAGTGAATCATGCGGCAAATGTGCAGAACAGGTCTTGCAGTTGCCATTGTCCATTGTCCATTTTTCGAGCTGAAGAACGTAAAAAAACGAAGAACCGAAGTACTGAAGGTGCTGGATCGAAACGGAGGGGTAGGGGCCCAAAACGAAGGGGCCGAACCGTCCCGGATGATAAATCAAGTCTGGCCAGTTGTTTGTCTGTGGCAACGAAAGAAAAATTGAAAAACAAAAGCCACAGACAACAACATAAACAGCGAACAGCTGATGATGCTGCAAACTCCACTAAATGTGTATCTGCCAGATATAGTAAGTCGGATGCCCCGATCGCGGCCAACAAATCTGGTCGCCTTAATTGGCCGAAAGGGTAACCGTAGTCACAGAAAGTCCAACTAATGCACGGTGAAAAAATGTTTATTATTTAATGCTAACTAACTAGAATTTAAGAACCATTATTAAAGGGTTAAAAGTTTTTCTTTTTTTTCTTAAATTCTTACTTATAAATAGTGTATCCATAATAGTAATGGCTGAAGTCATGAATTTTTGGAGGAGTCTTTGTAGATATAGTTTATTTACATAAAAATATTATATATATCTCAACACATCGAAAATCAGAAAAACCAATACAATTATTTTCATAAAAAAAATTTTCCCTGTATTTTTTCAGTGTTTCTTTTTTTAAATCAAGATATCGACCCATTTTGATGATTTTTGTTCGCCCTGTACCAATGTCAATTCCTTTGTGTGCTATTTTTGAACTAGTCTTAACCTTTTAAGGCGCTGACCACCTTTAAGGCGCTTTTCCCTCGGCCAAGCCGATCTGAGTAGGGAATGAAGGCAATTAAGTCATCGTTAGACGGCATTAGTGGGTTTAATTAGAACAACTGGCTGCCTACTGACGCGGCACTTTGTCACCGTCCCGAGGGTCGTCGTCAGGCGGTGTCTCAACCCATCAGATTCAGATACAAAAACCCAGCTATCAGGTAGCCGCAGTAGGCAGCTGTTGGCTAAACCCAAAATGGCACGCATTGCGGACGGGCCTTTGTGGACTGGACCCTTCTTCTCTCCCCGGGACCACCGATAATGCCCGACTATAATTAGAAAGTTAGTCAGCCGACTTGCCGTAACTGTAATCACGCATGTGTATCCGAAAGATATCGAAACAAAAGACCAAACAATCAACACTTGATGTTCTTGTCTCGGTTTTGGGTTACTGTTTTTTGGGTTCCCTGGCAGGTCCTCTGATTTATGGCAGCGAAGAAAGTGAAATTTTCTGGTGTGGGTAAAACCTGTTTGCCATTTTACTCAGGACATAAAAAGAAAAGAAAGACAAAGGCAAAGACCAAAGTCAAGTTCAAGTTTTATAGTAATTTCGAGTTATGTAAGACGTTTTTTCCTTCGAGGTTCTTGACTGCACATCAAAATGTCAAAAATTATGTCATAATTCTGAAATAAACGCAGCTGCAGCGTGGATTATACATATAGGGGAGGGAATTTCGGAGGGCTGGGGTATACGGGGTGGTTCCAAGTTCCAGGTGGTAGGACGTATGTAGGCCCAGTAACGCTGCACACTGCGCAGTTCCTCCCAAGTCCCTTGCCCCGTTTTCATTGGGGGTTGCTGACGTGTTCATTTTCCACTGGCGCTGATTTGCAGCTATGGGCCTTTCATCGATTTGCAGCTTAACCGCTTTTAAGGGGGGAATACCTAGGGGTCTCCCAACTAGGCACCCGGAAAAAGTCCCCAAAATAGCAAAGGTGACCCCCAAAAAAGACTGCGGAACGGGAGGCTGCGAAAAAGTTTTTCTGGGCCTATATTTCCCTAAACGCGGAAGTCGTTACTCCGTGTATATATATAGGGGATATACCATATATATACACGCACATAATTGCAGCGAGAGAGTGAACCAAAACAGTCGATAGGGCCCGTTGTGAAGGTTGCTAGGTAATCATCATCGGGGAAAATGCCCTCGACTGCGCAGGTCAAACAAATTTGTTTGTAAACAAAATCGGACTGAGAGAGTAGAGAGATTTTCCTGCACTGAAAGTAGGGGAAAAGCCAGTAAGAATTACAGTAACCAACTGCGGTCGAAACTATTTTAAGCCCAGCGGGGGGTCTCTGCGAGGGGCTGTG